TCAGAGGACATAGTTCTATTTCTTTACTGTTCTTTCCTCTGCTTTTTGTGTGCTTGTTATGAACAGTTAATTCTCAAGATCTAGTTTCTTATAAGAAAAACAAAAAAAAAAAAAAAAAAAGCAACTAACAACCAAACTTTGTCCACAGAGAATACAATTTGGTAACCCAAGCAATCAGCAATCATTACTTACTGGTCCTCACCATTAGTATCATTTTTCCAGTTATTTTGTGCTTGATACTCACTAATATCAATTGCCAGGAAAGAGGTAGAAACATTTTGGCATATTTAGTCTTTCAATAGTGGGCATCTGGAATCTATCACATCGTTTTTCAAATGATTGTTGTACCTAACAACATAAAAGGACTTTAGATGAGACACACCTCTTAAGTATTCGCAGAAAATATTCTGTACCATGAGCCAGAATATTTTGGAAATGAAGAGTGCTCCTGTAGTTGATAGGACCAAGCCTTTTGGACATTCTAACTCCCTGACACAGTTACCCTTCTCAGAAATGATACCTCAAATTGGAAATAAGGCCCTGATCTCAAAATATATGCTTCATGCCTAATCCATGGCCTTTTAATCTCAGTTTCAGCTACCTCTCATTTACCACCTATTCTTGGAGAGCTGTTTCTGAAATTGAATTTCAGAGGTCCACTATATTTAATATCTACCATCTTTAACTACCCAATTGACAAAATTAAAATGCGAAGATCCTTAAAGATCTGAAGACTAAACAACTTTTACATCCCCACCACCCACCAAAGTGATAGCCTTTCTGCACTGACTACAGATACAAACCACAGTTACTCCATTCCTGTTTTTTTTTTTCTTTTTATGATAGTGCTCTTGAAAGTGTAATGTCTAGTTGCTATTCACCCAACAGGACTTATCTCCTTAGTTGCTACTCAGTGAGACCCAATTCAAGTTACATGTAGTCTTCTCCAACTCACTAAAAATAAATCCTTCTTTCCCATGAGAGTACTATTCTCTAAGACTTGAAGTTTAATAAACAAACCACACTTTTTCATGATCTTAAGACCAATTCATTTCTCTTTAAAAAGAAAGAAAAGTGAGTATGTGTTATTCACATTTCTATTTATTTAATCAATGAATATTAAAGCCATGTGCTTTATTTCCTTTGCAATAATCTCTAAGGGATTGAGCAAATCTCTGCCTTCATGATGCTTGCATTTGAGTGAGTGAATACAAGTGAAAGACAATGGAAATATAATATTAAGTGGGTAGTGGTAAGAGTTTATTGGGAAAAATAGATTAGAAAAAGTAAGAAATAAAGAAGGACCTTAGTTGGAGAAGGAGTAGCAAGTCTTCCCAATGGAACAGTCCATTCAAAGAATATTTTATTTTGTATTTTCTACCATGTGTTCTAGATCCTATTGTTATGGATTCTGTCAAGATCTGTAATTGTTTATCACTCTTATACTAGCCACCTCTCTCACAAGAATGTAAGCCCTGAGTGACCTCTGTTATAAATGTCTCATTTACCCCTATCTCACCAGTTTACCACATTACTGAATAGACCTACTGCTTATTTCATCAACAATTAAGACATAAAATTTAATTCAGACTTCCTTTTATTATTCAAATTCTGAAAGTGTATCATCCATACCATACAAACTTATATTTTACGTTTTGTTTGTTCTATTTGATCTCCCTCTGGCAACTTTATTTTCTAAATCTGATTTCAAACACCTTACAGACAGAAAACAGGTTCTGTACATTTGCTTGCCTGACAAATTCTGCCATTGTTGTTTGAAAGGCAAGTGATACTGAAGTCCTCCTGAATACAGAAAGGATTGGAAAAGGAAAGCAGAGCTCACCTTCTGAAATACTTCCAGTAGATGACAGCACCAAGCATAATTTTGTAAGCATGTGATAAGTTCTAGAATGAAATAAGAACCTCTTGTGGTGTCTCTCCAGGATTTGGTATCTATGAATAATGAGAAAAGCAAGTTGGCAACTTGTTTTTTGTTTATATGTTTCTATCTGTCTCTCTGTCTATCTATCTATCTATCTATCTATCTATCTATCTATCTATCTATCTATCTACCTACCTACCCATCACATATCTTGACATGCTTGAGGGAAGCACTTATAAACTTGCACTAAATCACTTTCTGCAGAAGGAAGCAAAGAACCTGGCAAAGCATGAACTAATGGGACAGATTATCAAAACTGCCAGAGACACTGATCACATTGTGGCCATGGTACTAGCTTTCTCCTGCTCCAGGGAGCATCACATAGGAAATAACGAGAAAGGACTTGGTAATGACCAATTGAGAAGCTCATATATAATACTACTCAAAATTTTAAATGGATTTAATAGAACCTGAATCAGTCATTTGTCTTCAAATTTTATATGGTGAAGGTAGCCCCTCTACTATGTTGTTTTATGGTTTGGTATAGCTTTGACTGTAAAGTGCAGTACTCATCCTGTAAATATAATTTTTAAAATAGAAAAGAAATATGTGTCTCTCTAGAACAAGTAAAATAAAAATACATCTCAAGCACTCAAAATCTCTCACAAAGTATCCTTGCATGGGGTTCAGAGTCATCAAGGGGGCTTCACAAATCCTTGGGTGTGACTGAAAGACACATACGTGGAGTCGATGAGTAAAACGCGATGAAGTCCTTCTCCACGTGGGTTCTGCAAACAGCATCATCCTCTACATTCTCAGGTGAAGAGCTGTCTGCAGAGGCTCCTGAATCATCACTGACCACCGTTGCACCTAGCCTTTCTAGAGAAAGACCAAGAGCGAGATCCTATCTACCTCATTCTTTTTAAATGTTCATTCTGACAAATCTCTCTCTCTCTCTCTCTCTCTCTCTCTCTCTCTCTCTCTCTCTCACTCACTCACACACACACACACACACACACACACACACACACACACACACCACATTGCCTTTGTCTGGACCAAGTCAGTAAATACAGTGTCATAAAACAAAAGATCCTTTTATCCTAAGAAGAGCTAAGAAGATGAAACTTTATCTACATAATTTCTGAGTATAGATACCACTTTTTAGCTGAATTATTTCTGCTTTTGTTCCTTAAACATAGAGCCAAGAGCTATGAGATAACTGGATGTTAAAGCAAAAAGAACATTTTGCATTTTGGCTATGATACTGTGTTCCCTTTTCCCCTTTTCATAATATCTGTGGGGTTGGGGGTGAGGAGTGCAGCTAGTATGTAATGGCTTCGCTTTTGAATGAAATTCTTCTCAAGTCAGAGAATGTCAAATTTTTTGCCAAACATTTACAAGTAAAGTTGTCATTCAAATGATTTCATTCCAGCACTTGAATATCTTTGTTTAACTTTGATTTAGTGATGCTGGCAATCTCCTTTACCACCGACTATGAATTAAATTTTCAGCTGACAAGACAAATTCTCATACTACCAGCCCCTCAATTTTATTTGGCGAGGATGAGATCCGAGATTGTTTTCCTTCCATACAAAACACCCATGGCATTCCTCTGCAAACCCTTCCATGACCATTATTGTCCAGCTCACTCACCACCTCTGCAAGTCTGGATGATGACGACCTTGGGTTTATCCTTCAGAGAAGTGCAGTTGCGGGTGTTGAATATCTGGAAGATGGTGTCATTAGGGAGCATGTCTAGGTTTTTCTCACCATGCTTGATCCCACAGATTCCTTCCAGGGTTCCATGAGACATGAACACCAAGAACGTGCTATCAGAGGACCGGTGCTCAGGGCGCGCAGCAAACTCCCGCAGTGCATCTTCCATAGCCTGGAAAGCCCATGAGTCTTACTAAATAGAAACAGCACTCAAGTTACTCTGACCTGCTATTCATCAGGGTCGGTCTAACTCCACCGGTAGTGTCCCAGCTGAGGTGCTTCACACAGTTCAGTAGTGAGTGTGGATTTCTTTCACTTGCTTTCTTCCATTTTTTTTTTTAAGATCTATTTCTGCATACAGAACTGGGGTACAGGCCAGAAGTGCAGGGGTGGCGAGAGGATTCATCAGAGACAGAGTGAGGAGCAGAATGGCAGATTGACAATGTACATTGCTGAGGGGAGCAGCTGGTGAGACAGGAGAGGTCTGCTACTCCATGTGGATCACCTCTAGGGCCAGGTATTGAACTTGCACTGAAGCAACTGTGGCTAGCTTGCAATGTTGTGCTTTAACCCACTACCAAGTATTTCTTTCACTTTCTATCATGAATCCATAGCTTCAACTTCCCAATCCTGCTGGCATTATACCCACTGTAAATTTGATACATCCTGCATTTGCTTATCGTCGTATATTGCATTTTCCTCATTTCTCCAATTGTTGAGTGAGAACCTTATGTCATAAATGGAACATACCCAACTCTCCCAAAGTTTTCCCTTCCATGACTAGATTAAAATCCACTTCTGCTGCTTCCTCCCATTCTCCTCACACTGGGCTTTCTGTGCTAGTTTAAAATGCATTTGAGACTTTTCACTTGTAGTTACCCCTGCTTGGAATACCTTCTCTTCACACCTTTCCAGAGCTGCATTATTGCTGCACTCATCAGCACCTGTCTGATCTCTGCAAACAGACTCTTATTGCCATCACATCAAACATTATTATTCTATTCTCACAAGTTCGTTCTCTGTGTTTTTATTTCTTTTCACCTTTACAGTGATACACATGTCTGAAATTGTGTATATTGATAATATGATTGCCTTCTGCCAAGTCAAACAAGATCATGGGAGTTGGGCACCTTCTGGCTCTTTTATGGACTGGGAATAGCACCATTGACAAAGCAGGCTCTGGCTAAGTATTCATTACTCCAGAATTTCCTGAGATGTGATAAAACTGAATGTTACTTAACTCACTTTTCAGCTTGAATTGTAGGTGCACATACCAATCATATTTTTATCCGTTATGGATTCAAAGATATTGGGAGCCCAAAACACATGTAGATTTTGCCTTCCAAATACTTTCTATAATTACACAAATACACACACACACAAACACACACACCAAGGGCCTGGCCTGAAGCCCTTATGAAGCTACCTTGTGGCAGGAGGCTGTGCTGAATATGCATATGTGATGTGGAGACTCACCGTGGCTGTGAGTTGCTCTTTCACGTCCACTGTGTAGTCAAGGCTCTTGAGCAGGGCCTGCATCCCTCTGATGTCATGCTCTGCCCCATGCCTGTAAGAGAGCTGCTCAAACTCCGTATTGCATATGATGAGAGCCAGACGCGTTCGGCCCACTTTCTCCTTTATTGGGTAGATCTGCAGGAGGGATAAGCAGTGTACTGAACTCACTTCATCTCTGTGAAAACCTCTCACACCAATCATTGTCGCTCTGTGAGTGCTTGTGGAGACGCCCCACCCCCACCCACTGCCATCCAGTAGCACAAGGTCCAACCTTTATCCTCTTTGTATGGATTGATAGACAATAGGAACAAGTGTGAATGGAGAGTACATTTTCGGGAGCCCAGACAAGACCTACTACAATTCCAGGACGGTTACTGGAGAATTCTGAAGAGGTTAGAAAAATTCTACCTTTTTTTACTCCTCTCTCTACCAACTTGTATATTTCAACAGAATTCTAGATGCAGACCAAATTTTATAAAAACCAGAAACATTTGCCACTGGTACCAGCTAAAGGCAGTTCCTTTGCCTTTGATAACATTATTATTTGGATACTGTTTCAAACATATGAATATAGGAGGCCTTATGGAGAGTAATTATATTTTTAAATGTGTTTTGTGCCTAGAGTTTTCCACTACAATGTATGTAGTTACTACTCAACCATATTGTCTTATATTTTTTAGTCCCCTCTGCAGCTAAAAAAGTCATAAATTAAAGAAAAAATTGAACATATAAATGCACAGCCAGATATTTGCACTTTATCATTGGTGTTGGAAAGAGAATGGAGCCTATGTGAAGACTCATGATTCCTCCTTGCTAAAAAACATCTGAAAAAGATTCCCACCACCCCCACCCCATCAACTATTCATTATCTATCCATTTGTATTTAGTGAAAACAGTTGCTTCTCTTTATTTGGTGGCAGAACATCTTACCTCCCCTGCTCTTTCTTGGCTTATTCTCAGGAATTTTTCATGAGGGCAAAGCTTCATGCCATCTGCAGTTTCCACTGACTCAGGTGGTCTGGCCGTGAGCGCCGGAGGAACTGCAGGGTACATAACGTCACATAAAGCATCACAGCTGCTTCTGTGACCAGCAGCCCAATTAGCAGCTGGGAATATTGGCAGAAAGGGGAGTTCTGGGAAGAAAGTTTCTTAACCTGTGTGGTTATAGTTGTAGCTGATGTATAGTATGAGAGGAAGTATACTGTGACTAAGAAGGGACAAATGTCTTAACACAGAAAGCAGATGTAATATTCCCCCAAAAGAAGGATGTGTTATTCCCAAAATGCTATCATAGATTCTGATGCATCCTGACCTAATTACTAAAAAAAGTATGTTTCTCCAGCATGGCTAGTCCTCATCTGGCTGAGGTTGTGCAAGAGAGTGGGAAAGCCCAGAGCCCTCCCTTGGATGTCAGAAAGAAGAAGAATCCACAGAAGAAATTAAGAGGAACATACCAGAGGGAATGTAACCAAGCTTTAGTTCATGAGAAGAAACTTATCTTCGGCTACAATATTATCCTGTATAAAAGTTTCTGTTTCTATAGTTTATTATATTTTCTACTTGACTCATTCCAATAGGAGTTTAAATAATCCTTTTTTTAATAAGTGACTTTCTAAAAGTTATGCTAAAAGCATAAGCTAAAAGCTGTGCAAATACAGCAAATTTTAAAGCTTTAAGATACCAACATTTTTAAATATTTCTTTTCATTGATTATATAGTGACATGATTTCCCTTCTCATTCCAGAAGACACCGCCAGCATGAAGCAATACAGGATCCTGGAACTTTCAGGACCAGAAAGTATGTGTTCCCACTGAAGTTCTCTCCTTTCTTTGCAGTTTATGCAGCTTTGGTGGTCTCAAAAATTTTAGAAGTATTATCACCTACAGCTATATAGATATAGTATTTGGGGATAAAATTGGGATTTTGATGAGAATCATCTCTTAGCTCTGAAAGAAAACTTGCATGAACATGAACCCTTACAGTTCAAAACAATGTATGGTGTGACCTGCTTTCTAACAGGACTTCCATTAGCCTGGTAGCACATCAGAAAGAAGTAAGAGACTCAGGGATCTATGTAAAAATTTTAATATCTGATACTTATCTGTTATGTAATAAAATGATCAGAAAAACTCTTAAATTGCTACAGAAAGCTAAGGGTTGATATGGCAGAAAGAAGAGTCTTTTCCTCTGGTGTGGGCAGGAATTCAAGTGGTAAACCTGGACATGAGGACATTTAAGTCCAGAGATATTCTTAATTCAATCTAAGTCAGAAGTTTCAGACAATTTTAATTAATTGGTCACTTTATAGGTGGTCTCCTGATCATATTTCATAAACCACAGAAATGAGAAAGTACTCCAAGGTCTTAATACTGGAAGTTGAATGATAATTATGATAACTGGTATTTATTGTGTAATGTTTTTCATTTGTCCATCCTGTGTTGTTTACCTGCAATGTTCCCGGGAGTCTTCTAAGAGCTATTGTGTTCAGAAAGCCTACAGTTGTCTCTGATTAAGAAACCCAGTAGAATACATTCCTACCTATTAGAAAGAAGATTAAAAAATGGAATAACTTTGTTAGTGAGAATTAGTGATTTTACTTTTGTGATGTTAAGTGTAGATGCAGAATATATACTAGAAGTATTTGATTCTGGAGCTCAGAGAACTCTGGCTGAGATCTAAAATCTAGGGAGTTACCATCCTAACCTACCATTGTACAGCTAGCCATACAAAGTACAAAGATGGCCTCTAAAAGGCTAATGAAAGATTTAGTAAAAATGATGCTTTCATAATAGCAGGAAGGGCAGATTTAGAGGACACTGGTGGGAAATTTCCTTGGAGCAAAAAATTTCCTTGGAGACCCTGGGAAATATGAGAACACCGTAGTCTTACCTTTTGTTTGTGTGGCATTTTTGTTGGTGTTAAGGAGGGTCTGTAGGAGAACTTCACCTGCTATATGGCGTTTCTGTAATATAGAGTCCACAACGAGCCGGGTTTTCTGTCGAGGTGTGGCCTCTTCAAATTTTTTCCTCTCTGATTTTTCTAATTTCAGAACATCTTTTCCTACTAAGTCATCTAAAACTCCAACAAGAAGTTCTTTGCCCACAGATTCCAAATTCTTAAGTAGAATTCTGTTGTTTTTGTTTTCTGTGAAAAGTAAAAATATTCTTTCACATGTGCATACATAACCTAAAGAGAATTTTCCTGTCTTCAGAGAGCACTCTAGATTGTGAAACTGCCTTGAAAAGACTTCTGACGAGTATACCGTCTCCCCATCATCTACACTGTCTTGTCCTACCTACAGTGTTCTCTCTCCCATCACATAAATATAAGGCTGTGTTTCAAGATTCATCAGTGGGCCTCCCGCTGACCCAGGGCTTTAAATCTCTCTACTAAAGCATGATTTCATTCCCCAGCCAGGGAGCTGATCCACATACAGTGCAACAGACCTCTCCTGTCTTGCCCACTGCTCCCCTTAGCAGTGTATTTCAGTTGATCCACCTGTTCTGCTCCCCACACTATCTCTGGTGAATATCTCATCCCTGCATCTCTAGGCTGAACCCCTATTCTTCTATGCAAAAATATTATTTTTTTTAATTAAAAAATATTTCATCACCACTTCAGATTTTTTGATAGCATCTGAGATCTTTGTGATGTTGGACCTAATCCCAATGTATTCACATTTTCTTTTCTTTATTTTCTTTCTCACAGTAATGATGGTGCACTACCGCTAAGGAACAGCCATATTATTTTCTGGACTCTGCATTCCTCCCCAGACTATAGGGTCTTTCCTCTGTATTTATTTGTGTGGGTGAAAAGAGCTATGCCTTTCAGTCTACATCCCATTTCTGCATCTCAGTACTTAAAATATTTAAAATCTCTGAATAAACACATCACCTAATGAATTCACCCAAAGTCCTTATACTTAAGATATTCTCTCACTCAAATTTCAAAATTAAAAATAACCTGAAAATTCAGAACTGAAAATCAACTTTCTAAATGGTACATTAATTTGATACTATATGGTACATTAATTTATTACTGTCTGGCATAATTTCAAGTTTTACAGGTGAATATGTAAGTTTTACAGGTGAATATGTAAGTCAAAGTAATCCTTTAAATTTAATCCCATAGAAAAGATTTGTATTATATAAGAAAGCAAGATATCTTATTAATTCAAAACTCAAGCTAAAAGACAGTTTTCCAGTCCATCTAGATATAAAGATAATATACATACAAAAACACATTTTCTAAAGAAAATGTAACAAGACTTGAATCAAAATTTCAGCTCAGAGGCATCAGCCTTATTGTCCGTATTAACTTGCATTATTCTTTCAATAAGTGTTTTTGAACAACTATTATGAAAAGAAACATGGAAATTCTAAAACATGAAAGTGATCTAATACCAGTTAATTTAATAATTGTTAATGTCTCTTGTGCATTTATCATTATTAAAAACAATTATATATAGGGCCTCCCTGTTGGCACAAGGGGTTAAGTCTCAGCACTACGAAGCTATCACAGCCACTACAGAATGAGTTCCATCCCTGTACAGGAGCTGACCCTCATGGCACAGCAGACTTCTTCTATCTTGTCTGCTATTCTCCTAAGCAGTGTATTTCAGTGCGGCCTCTTATTCTGCTCCCTACTCTGTCTCTGGTGAATCCTCTGATCTCCCCACACCTCTGGCCTACACCCCAGCTTCTGTATACATAAATAAATACATTTTAAAAAATAACAATTATATATAAAGTTACATAAAGTATAATATGTTTATAATTTATAAATCTCTGTACTGCATACTTTATAAATATTTTATACCAGACCTTCACAAATATCCAGGAAATAATTAATATTTCCTCTATTTTATAGATCACTTAAGTAAAACAATAACATATACCTGGATTTAAATTCTGTTCTTATGCCATGTTTTTGTAGTTAAGAACAACACTGCTTCAGAATAATGAGCTCCTGTATGTGTCAAGTGCTTTCTATCAGTTCAGACCATCTATAGATCTGGAATATGGATGCTTGGGTATGCTGGGGTAACTACACCTGAAGGAAGTGACCCTTATTACTAAATATTAACAATGTACACCAATGGTACCTCAATTAAATGAATAAATTCCCTGTAACAGGAATATTAATATTTCCATTACATAGAAATGGAAATAGAAAGCTGAAATAATTGACCCAAAGGCTTTGTATTGTATACATGTGTATATTAAGTAGGGGAAAGAATTCAAATTAGGGGGTACAGAATCCATAACCACCCTACTCTTAAATTGCCAGACTACTTTACATGATATCTGACAAAGATTCACTTAAGAGAATTAAAAAAAATATTTCAGGAGCTGACATAATCCTAGATAAATTTATGATGGTAATAACACAAAAGGCTTCTTAGAAAAGGTATAGTCACAATGACGTTATTACAGTATGTGAGAACATAGAGTTTCAAGAACTGCAGGCAGCATGTACTTTCCTGTGTGGAATATTCATTCTGCCTGAGTTTTGGATTTCTGTTTCATTTACTTGTACCCTCCATATGCTGGTAGATTGTTGACTGAAAGAATGAAATGGGGTGAAATATGTAAACAATAAAACCAAAGAGGTTTGCCCTCAGATCACCTTTCATCAGCTACACATTCTCTTGGTTTCAGTTATTAAAAAATTTCCTCAAAATTTGTATATTCAACCCAGATGTAGACATCCAAATCAAGACTCACATGCATCTCTTTTCCATATTCCATAAAGTTGTTCAACTCAACCTTCTAAATTGAACTTATTAGTTCTTCATCTATAGTGTAAGTGAAATTAATTACCAGATACACTAAAGTAGCAACATCTGGTGAAATGAACCTCTTTTGTTCTTTCTATATATCTTATATCCATCTCACTTCAGGTTGTATTATTTTTCTTTTGGGGGGCTGAATATTTGCAGTTTCACAATCTCTTATTTCTAATGGCACCTTACTGACATTCTAACCACATCCTTGCTCTCTTAAAGATTCCAAGAACCTATAAATCTACACTTGTAGATTTGTACGATCTGTTCTTTGGAATGAGGTAGAATGGGTGTTCTAAAATCTAGATTTGATCACGAAATCCATCCATTTAATCTTGGTCTTCTCATTCAGCTTCAACTTCTGCCATTTAGTTCATTATGTTTTATACTCTTGACCCTTCTTTCTGTTCCCAGAAAATACTTATTTAGGGTTCCCACTGTGTACTGTCTCCCACCCCGCATCCATTCTGTAGCTCCTTGTTTATTATTCAAGTCTCAGGTCACTTGCACCTTCCTCTGGGGAACCCTGAATGATGCTGAAACTAGAGGGTCAGAGGTACACTCTCCTAGAACACCTTGTTTCTTCTGAAGAGAGAACAGTTATTAGATAAGTGGAAATGGGCAAGCCATATTGGTTGTTTATATGTAATAAACTTATTTTCAAATATATTATCTAATGATGCTCTGTGACCATCCTATAATAGTGAGATCATCCCATCTGGCAAAAAGGAGGTTGTGGTCATGTATTTAATTAAATGCTCCCCTGCTTCATGGTCAGTTAGTGCCAAAGAAAGAAAAGATGACTCCTCATATTTAGAAGTAAGTGAAAAGTCACGACATGAAATATATATGCTGAGAATAATTGTGTGGCTAAGGGAAAATCTCAAACATTAACACAGTAATAAGGACTTACACTGCATTTTCCTTTTTATCATGTTGGTGTTCTTCTCACTTGCCACACATATATGGACAATTAATCTTTGACAAAGGAGAAAACAACATGCAGTGGAACAAGGACAGTTTGTTAAATGGTTCTGGGAAAACTGGACCACTACATGCAAAAAAAAAAGACTAGACCACTACCTCACACCATACATAAAAACAAACTCAAAATGGATAAAAGAACTGAACATACGACCTGAAACTATAAAATATATATAAGAAAATAAGGGTAAAATACTCTATGACATACATCTCATAACATCTTTAAAGACTTACCCCGAAAGCAAACAAAATGAAGGAAAAGATAAACAACTGGAACTACATCAAATTAAAACACTTCTGGGGCCCTCCCTGGTGGCGCAGCGGG